AAAAGGAAGAAAAAGTGCATAAAAGGAAGAAGCCGCAAGTACCGCTCAGCGTCATTTACCGCTGAGCGGCACTTTGAAGACCCGCAGTCACCGTTGAGGGGCAAAACTACAGTTGAGGGGCAGAATAGAAGTCACGCACTTACCGCTGAGCGGCATTCTTATGGGCTTGGGCTTATTTTTCTGTAATATTTAGAAGTCTATATAAGGCTTTAGTCTTCCTAGGGTTAGTATCTTTGGCTGGAACGAAGCAGAAACACACTCTTTCAACCCTTGGAGGAGGATTTTGGATGTTACAACTCCTTTCTCACCTTTCTAGGGTTTTATCTTTCACTCTTTCATTGCATTTCATCTAGTTTCACCATAAATATGGTGAACTAAACTTCTTTTGTTGTTGGGGAATCAATGTAATCCTTTTGAAACTCTCATGTATTGAATTTGTTCTTTAATATATATGCTTTCTTTAATTAATTTTTAGGGTTTTTCTCCTTTGCTTAATGCTTGCATTGTTTAACTCATTCATAGCATGATAATTGATTTTGTTGATATGGACATATACGGGAAATTCTAGATCTGGAGAATCTCTCCCAATAGTAGTATAAACCTAGACATAGGAATATGATAGTTGATTGCCTTTAAGCTTCTGTGCTTTATAATGCATGAATAATTGCTAGGGAGACAAGACATTGTAAACTAGTGATTATGATTAGGCTTTCTTCGCCGAGACATTGGGTTTAAGGTAATTTAGAGAGTGACATTAACATTAATGAAGAAAGATGAATTCTTGAATACATGAGAGTGGATAGGATGAAATTGATAAACCCCAACAACATATTCATCATATATTTCAATTCACGTGTTTTGCTTCTTCTTTTCCATTGATCAATACATGCATTCATATTTACTTTTTAGTAATTTGCATTTAAAATCTCAAAGAATTGTTTTTACAAGTCTTAGATAATCAACAAATCACATAATTGTCTAGGCCGTGAGTCCTTTGGGAGAATGATATTTGGTCTTACCAGTTTTATTACTTGATATGATTTGGTTACACTTGCCGAGGGTTAACACTCTCCCAGCAGGTTCGCGAACCCAAGTTCGACCTCACCATCGCCACTGCCTCATGCCATCGCCACCGTGAAGCATCACCACCGCTGTCGCGCTACAAAGCCTACTTCAGGCCATCGCCGCCGTAAGAATCGCGACACTCAACGCGAGAACTTGCAACCACCACATCTCCATCCAGGACGCCATCAAACCTGCAAACCACAAGAACCAAAAATCTGCAGAAGGACCACAAGCTTAAATCGCAAACCCACGAGCTTCGCGCCGCCATGAGTATTTTCCCCTCTCTGCAATACCAACCTAGAACCAGTGAGAAAGGGGGACGAAGATAAATGGCAGAGAGAAGAGATTGGAAATAGAATCAAACCTCCTTTGCCGCAAATTAGAACGGAGAGAACAAGAGGAAGAAGAACCCTAGGTTGGAGAGAAGAACTTCTTTGGAGGCGTGAATGGGAAGAGGAAGAATACTGCGTAAGAAAATGCGTTTGCATTTAGTTTACGCAGGGGCTATTACCTCGGTTAAGTAAAAGACCGAGGCCGAACGATACTATTGCTTCTGTCCCCAGACAACTGAGACATATTAATGGACAAAATTAACTTGGAACGTTCAGTTACTGCCTCGGTTCATAGTAGAAGCGAAACCGAACGGTCTTATTGCCTCTGTCCCAAACAACCTAGGCATATTAGTGGACAAAATTAACTTGGAACGTTCGATTACTACCTCGGTTCATAGCAAAAGCGAAACCGAATGGTCCTATTCCCTCTGCCCCAGACAACCGAGACTTATTAGTGGACTAAATTAACTTGGAATGTTCGGTTACTGCCTCGGTTCATAGCAGAAGCGAAACCGAACGGTCTTATTGCCTCTGTCCCAAACAACCGAGGCATATTAGTGAACAAAATTAACTTGGAATGTTCGTTTACTGCCTCAGTTCATAGCAGAACTGAAATCGAACGATCCTATTCCCTCTGCCCCCAGACAACCGAGACTTATTAGTGGATAAAATTAACTTGGAACGTTCAGTTACTGCCTCGGTTCATAGCAGAACCGAAACCGAACGATCATATTCCCTTTGTCCCCAGACAACCGAGACTTATTAGTTGACAAAAACGTTCAGTTACTGCCTCGGTTCATAGCAGAAGCGAACCCGAACAGTCATATTGCCTCTGTCCCCAGACAACCGAGGCATATTAGTGGACAAAACGTTCGGTTACTGCCTCGGTTGAGAGCAGAACCGAAGCCGAACGGTCGTATTGCCTCGGTTCCCAGTCAACCGAAGCCTATAAGTTCACCATAAATACAAAAATGCCACCGCATATTTATAAGCTTCGATTTTGTAAAAACCGAAACATATGATGCGAGTTAAAAAACCATTTTTTTACTAGTGTGAGAGTGTGAAACAAGGGAGAATGTTCTCGTTTAAGAAGTTATAAAACCTCACCACAAAAATATAATATTTGGACAAAAACAAACAACACATTAGTTAGTCTCATGATTCCTAACCTTAAAGTTTCTTTCATTACCAAATCAACCAATTTAATACAAACAATTCAAAATTCTATTCCTTAATTTCTATATCCCTAATTCAAAAATTATACACCAATTTACATTATCAACCAATTTCATACAAATAATTCAAAATTCTATTCCCCTAATTTCTATATCCCTAATTCAAAATTATTCACCAATTTACATTATCAACAAATTTAATACAAACAATTCAAAATTATATTCCCCTAACTTCTATTTCCCTATTTCAAAATTATACAATAGATTACATTATCAAGCAATTTAATACAAACACATTTTATTCAAAATTATACACAACCTAATTCAAAATACATATACATACATTTTATCATTGTTATTCCTATCACCAATTTACTATCAAACACAATAAAAAAAATGGAGGAGGTCTGAAAAACTTACCACACGAAGAAGAAGAACGACACCAAGAGAAGGGATGAACGATGGCAACGCGAACATCAGTTGGCGACAATGATGAAGAAGGGCCGAGACGACACAACCAGTGGTGGAGGTAGTGGCGATCAACAACTAGCAGTGACGACGATGAAGAAGGGCCAAGATGATGACGACTAGTGGTGGAGGTCCTAGTGGCGGAGAGGCAACGAAAAGCAGTTTGTGCGAGATGGGGAAGCACTTCGCATTCACGTTGTGGGGGAAGAAGAAACAGTGGAAACAGTGGTTACTATTTCATGTTTCTGAAATTTATCTCTCGAAGAGATTATTGCCTTGGTCAAGTAGAAAACTGAAGCAATAAGACCCTTTACTGCCTTGGTTATAAATATATCGATGCGTAAACCTTGTAGAAAAAATTCAAAATGGCAAATTTGAAAATATCTTCTAACTATAGGCATCTGTTTGCGGTTAAACTGAAGCATAAATAACCTATGACATCGGTTCAAAGAGAATCGAGACAATATAGATTGACAAAATAGATTTGGAACGTTCAGAATCAGCGGTTGTCTGCACAGAACCAAGGCAATATGTTTTTTAAAAGGTCGGTTAGTGAATATCAGTGCTTGCAGAGGGATTTGGCAAGGCCTTTTGCCTCAATTGGTTAGAGCACCGAGGTAGTAGGCCTATTTTGAAAAAGATGTCAAGTGAAAAATATGATTTGTAGAAGAAGCAGGTGGGTGACGCAGGGTTTTATGCCTCAGTTCCTCATTGAACTGAGATAACATACCCCTTATGCATCAGTTCCTACTAAACCAAGACATGTTTTGCCAAAACCACGAAAATGTCACTGTATTTTTATACGTTTTGATCTTTTCAAAACCAAGACGTTATGTTACGTTCGAGTTAAAAAATTGTTTTTCCACTAGTGATCATTCAAATTATGGTTTGGTCATTGTGCACAAAGTTTACGTTTTCATCAAAATTATGATTTTATTCCAATCAAACAATATTTGTGAGGGTCGGACACTTCGACTCGATACCAATATTAAGCAAAACAAATATTTTTAATATTAAATAAAATATAAGTTAAATTTAAATCCTATCTAATTTACAAATAATAAATACTAATTAAATGTAAATAATTAATACAAAATAAAGAAAAGATAACTCGGAATGGAGAGTGACACTGTAAGGAGCAAAAGGCACATAGAAAGGAAGAAGGACCCGTGGGAATGGCAACATGGAGCAACGACAATGGCCACCCAAAACAGAAAAAATGGCTAAGAATGTTAGCGAGGACTGTACTAGTGAAAGTTGCAAGAACAAAAAAAGAACAAGAGTGAAAGGAGTGGTGACGACTGTGACGAGCAGCGACAACGAATAGTGGTAGCGTATCCAATGAGGGCAAGCACAGCAACTAAAGAAGTGCGAAGTTATAGAAATTTTGAAAATCATACTTTAAATTATGGTTCCCTTGTACAATCATTGTTGTTATCCAAATATTTAGCCTTTCTACTACAGTTCTCCAATAATCGTTTTTGAAAAATTCGTTCTATTACAATATTTTCATCATATTTTTTTACAACGAGAACTTTTTAATCGTCTTTATTTATGATCTAAACATTGAATTCTATTTTTTACTTATCCTAAAGTATATGATATGTTATTAAAGTTAAGGGTAAAGTGACGAGTTTTCGGAAGTATGGGTGTGAAAGTATCATTTCCCTTCTCCAATGCAAGGCAAGGGAAAAACATTGTAATGAGCACTGAAAAAGCAGTGCTATGATTGTCTGGTGATCTGAAGGAAGCATATACGTGTGGCTCCTCCAATCCATTAGATTAGCCTTAAACGTCATCATACACACCTTAAACATTATTTTAAATCAATTTTTGATCATCGGATGCCAAAATTTGCAATATTCCATTCATTATTCTTTATCTTTTCCACTTGATTCATCATTAACTTGCTTTCCAAAAGTAAGGCGCACTATATAACTTAAATCAATTAAAAGTATTTGTAGCACAGTTGCTCAGCATCATATCCACACAAGTCACAATAATTGTTTATTACATACACAGTCCTCAACATTAGCAGAGACACTAACACACCATGTTAGAATTTCTCTTCCTTAGCTTCCTCACCTTTGCAACTACTCACGCAGCTCTTCCCAATCCACATGGAAGTCCACGGCCAGATAGTTCTTCATCACCACTAATTGCAACAACCCTCCATGACTATGTATACCTAAATTGCTCCACTGACACAGATGCGGGCAGTGCCTTCCAATTCAACCTAGACACGCTCCTACGGAGATTATCTAATGCTACAACTGACAACGGCTTCAACAAAACCACAGTCACTGGAGAAAACCCCTCAGACTCAGTCTTTGGATTGTTCATGTGTAGGGCTGACGTTCCCTCTCAGCTTTGTCGACAATGCGTCAACAAAGCAGCCCAACAGTTAGCCCTAGACTGTTCCTACTCCCAACAAGCTCTCATTTGGTACGATGACTGCATGCTTCGTTATTCCAACTACTCGTTCTTCTCTACCCTCGACACAAGGCCTAAGTTTACCGTAACCAGCATCCTCAACATCTCTAACGAGGAAAGCTTCAGGCGTTTATTGTTTCGGACCATGAACAAAACTGCAGACGAAGCAGCTTATCCGCTTCATCCTATCAGTGCCAAGAAGTTTGCCACAAGGCAAGCAAGCGTGTCTGGATTTCAGAGGCTTTATTGTATGGCGCAGTGCACTCCAGACTTGTTATCCAATGATTGCAGCAGCTGTCTGGAGGGAGCCATAGGGGACCTTCCATGGTGCTGTGGAGGGAGACAAGGAGGGAGAGTTTTATATCCCAGTTGTTTTGTTAGGTATGAATTGTACCCTTTTTATCGCCACATTGATCCCTCAGCGCCACCTTCGCATCCCCCACGGCCGGTTCCTGTTCCTGCGTCAAAATTTTCAGACGCAGATCCAAATTATCTTTACCACAATTGCTCAGCTGATGCCACTGCTGACAGCGATTTCAACAACGACCTCGTTACCCTCCTCTCTTACTTGTCTTCCAATGCCACCAAATCATACTACAAGGACAGTGTCGACGACAATGCGTATGGCCTATTCATGTGCCGTGGCGACCTTCCCTCTCAACTCTGTCAATGCATCCTAAACGCAACCAGTTATTTATCTTCAAGCTGCAATTCTTCTCAAGAGGCTATAATTTGGTTCAGCCACTGCATGCTACGCTATTCCAACAACTATTTTTTCTCCCACATGGAAAAAAGTCCAATGTTTCAAATGTTGAATGTTACCGCTACCTCCAGCCCCATCCCTGGCCAAGACGACTTCACTTACTCATTATCAACTACTTTAGCTAGTCTGGCAAAGGCAGCAGGAGATAGTGCAGAGAAATATGTGGATAAATCAATAGCATTGAATGATGCACAGACCCTTTACACTCTTGGTCAGTGTACGCAGGATTTGTCCAGTGACGACTGTGTGGGCTGTCTCTCAGACATAAATGGAAGAATTCCATGGTCAAACTTGGGGAGCGTTGGGGGAAGAATTCTATATCCAAGCTGCAATATCAGGTTTGAATTATTCCAATTTTACAGAGCTGGTGGTGACCCAGCTCAAGGGCCTCCACCATCACCTCTTCAAGGTAAAGTACATTCGGTACTACTTGTTTTTCTGCCGTCTTTTATTGCTTTTTAGCTGAAGTGAAGTGAATCATTATTTTCCTTAAAATTCTAAATTTTTATAATTTTTGAAATATTTGGTCTATGAAATCGAACATGGTTGGTTTATTTCTTTAATCACTTTCACACGTTCAATAACATCAGATATACCCTGACATACATATAGCATGTAATATGTTCTGCTAGCTCCTATTGGTCTACACCTGCGAATTCAATATAGAAAATCTGGTTTTACCCCATTTGCACCGGTTCACAACCTAATTTTAGGAAGGAGTATTTTTATCATTAAAAAAAAATTCATTTTTATGTTTGTAAAGAAAGAAAAAGATAAAATATTTAAATAATGGATCAGATTTTTTTATATAATATTATAACATAATTTATTTGTTACTTTTTCATTAGGTTTAGAATACATCAACATAATAATAAATAAATAATGAATTAATAAAAAATGACACACATGTTATATCTAAATATTGTTATAAAAAATTCTGTTTCAAAATATATTTTAGAATATGTGTACTATTACCCTTCAATAATCATTATTTTAGTCTTGAAAATGCGGCAATTTAACTTAGTTACCTGCGTAATTAAAATATCAATTTCAAGCTTTAAATTGAAAATCACCTATCAGATTGCTTCAAGTGTCAGTTTACAAAGCTAATGATAAAAAATTACCAAAGGATCAAAATTACATCAAATTTCTAGAGAAATTAAAATTAAGATGCTTCGTTTTTCAGAGAAAAAAAAGAGAGAAAAGGCTTTCAATTGATTAATAACCTTTTTTTATTGTAAAAGCTTTCAATTAATAGCTCAAACTAGATCAATGTAAAGGATTCAAAATAACACCAAGGTAAGTTCTTTTAGAAGGTTTATTTAATGTTGTGTTTAAAGTAGAAATATTCACTAAATTTATTATTTTAAAGCTTCAAATTAATCTTCATCTTTTATATAAATTTATTTATGTTTCAAATCAAATGTGACTAAAATGGGTGAAAACCACTTAATCGATATATTATGACTCGTCATGATTAATTCTTCATTACTATTTTCTGTTAATAATTTATGTTGATTGTTTTGCAGAAAGGAAAAAAGGGCAATCTCGTACAATGATTTTTGTTATTGTACCGACGATTATTTCGCTGACACTACTCTCTTTAGTCTACTATTTGATAAACTACTATTTGATGAAGAGAAAAAGAAGAAAAAATGTTAAGAGGATTCTCAGAGAACAATGTACGTATTAAGAAAATATGTCAAATCTATGCCTTTTAAGTTTTACAAAATTTAGTCATTTAAATTAATTAATTCATATATATTTGATCCAGTTGGTCACGAAAGTGTAGCTTTAGAGCCATTACAATTCAAGTTATCTGTAATTGAGGCCGCNTGTCTAACCCTATCTTATTCAAGAAGATTTACTTTTTCTAGTTTATTAAACATACATATTTTAAAAAACATATCTAAAATTTCATGAATTTTTGCCAGCATTCTGAATATAAAACATAACTACAAATTTTCATGAAATTTAAGACATGTATATTAAAATTTATATATATTAATAAACTATGAAAAAATTATTACTTTTCTTAAACTGTCCAATCAGACAATTCAAGATTCAGTACTTGTAAATTATTATTACCATCTCTTCTCTGTTCATTTGTAAAAAGTATTTGTTCAAAAAAATTTGTACATAATAAATAATTTTTGTATTGAATCTCAAACGAGAAACTAAAGCTAATTCACAACAACAAATTATTCAAGCAAACAAATAATTACATATGCACCATACAAAATATTCAAACAAACAATATATTCAAGGAAACAATATATTCACACAAACAAATAATTACATATTCATATTAAAAGGAAAATTTTAAGAATAAGAACGTGACACTAGTGCAGTAAGGGAAAACGACAACGATTATTTTCGCTTATAGGCAGCGGTTCCGCAATTGAGACATATACTGGCGAGGCAAAAAAGGGTAGGTTTCTTGCCTCGGTTAACAACCGAGGCCAATAGCGGTCGGATTATGCCTCGGTTCTTAGGTAACCGAGGCAGAAGGGTGTTTTTATTTTTTTAGACTTTAGGCTTCAGTTCATACTGAACCGAATAGTTCTTGTCCTCGCCGAACGGTGCTCGCCCTTGCCGAACGGTTCTCGATCTCGTCGAGCCCTAGCCGCGTCATCTCCTCCATTGACGCATCAACCATGGAACTCTCGCTTTGAACGAAAGCGCGCCTCTCTAATAAAAGTTGAAAAACTGTTATTTTTATAATTAAATTTGACCTTAAAGACAACCTTTATGACTTAGAAACTAGCTTGGAATCATGTTTTTGTTGAAGTTTTGGAAATAAGAGAGTTGGACAGGTTTTATGCTTGATTTCTTTGTTTTTACAGGTTTTAAGATGAATTGAGTGAAAGAAGTAAAAGCGTTAGGAGTTGGATTCAGAAAAGGAAGAAAAAGTGCATAAAAGGAAGAAGCCGCAAGTACCGCTCAGCGTCATTTACCGCTGAGCGGCACTTTGAAGACCCGCAGTCACCGTTGAGGGGCAAAACTACAGTTGAGGGGCAGAATAGAAGTCACGCACTTACCGCTGAGCGGCATTCTTATGGGCTTGGGCTTATTTTTCTGTAATATTTAGAAGTCTATATAAGGCTTTAGTCTTCCTAGGGTTAGTATCTTTGGCTGGAACGAAGCAGAAACACACTCTTTCAACCCTTGGAGGAGGATTTTGGATGTTACAACTCCTTTCTCACCTTTCTAGGGTTTTATCTTTCACTCTTTCATTGCATTTCATCTAGTTTCACCATAAATATGGTGAACTAAACTTCTTTTGTTGTTGGGGAATCAATGTAATCCTTTTGAAACTCTCATGTATTGAATTTGTTCTTTAATATATATGCTTTCTTTAATTAATTTTTAGGGTTTTTCTCCTTTGCTTAATGCTTGCATTGTTTAACTCATTCATAGCATGATAATTGATTTTGTTGATATGGACATATACGGGAAATTCTAGATCTGGAGAATCTCTCCCAATAGTAGTATAAACCTAGACATAGGAATATGATAGTTGATTGCCTTTAAGCTTCTGTGCTTTATAATGCATGAATAATTGCTAGGGAGACAAGACATTGTAAACTAGTGATTATGATTAGGCTTTCTTCGCCGAGACATTGGGTTTAAGGTAATTTAGAGAGTGACATTAACATTAATGAAGAAAGATGAATTCTTGAATACATGAGAGTGGATAGGATGAAATTGATAAACCCCAACAACATATTCATCATATATTTCAATTCACGTGTTTTGCTTCTTCTTTTCCATTGATCAATACATGCATTCATATTTACTTTTTAGTAATTTGCATTTAAAATCTCAAAGAATTGTTTTTACAAGTCTTAGATAATCAACAAATCACATAATTGTCTAGGCCGTGAGTCCTTTGGGAGAATGATATTTGGTCTTACCAGTTTTATTACTTGATATGATTTGGTTACACTTGCCGAGGGTTAACACTCTCCCAGCAGGTTCGCGAACCCAAGTTCGACCTCACCATCGCCACTGCCTCATGCCATCGCCACCGTGAAGCATCACCACCGCTGTCGCGCTACAAAGCCTACTTCAGGCCATCGCCGCCGTAAGAATCGCGACACTCAACGCGAGAACTTGCAACCACCACATCTCCATCCAGGACGCCATCAAACCTGCAAACCACAAGAACCAAAAATCTGCAGAAGGACCACAAGCTTAAATCGCAAACCCACGAGCTTCGCGCCGCCATGAGTATTTTCCCCTCTCTGCAATACCAACCTAGAACCAGTGAGAAAGGGGGACGAAGATAAATGGCAGAGAGAAGAGATTGGAAATAGAATCAAACCTCCTTTGCCGCAAATTAGAACGGAGAGAACAAGAGGAAGAAGAACCCTAGGTTGGAGAGAAGAACTTCTTTGGAGGCGTGAATGGGAAGAGGAAGAATACTGCGTAAGAAAATGCGTTTGCATTTAGTTTACGCAGGGGCTATTACCTCGGTTAAGTAAAAGACCGAGGCCGAACGATACTATTGCTTCTGTCCCCAGACAACTGAGACATATTAATGGACAAAATTAACTTGGAACGTTCAGTTACTGCCTCGGTTCATAGTAGAAGCGAAACCGAACGGTCTTATTGCCTCTGTCCCAAACAACCTAGGCATATTAGTGGACAAAATTAACTTGGAACGTTCGATTACTACCTCGGTTCATAGCAAAAGCGAAACCGAATGGTCCTATTCCCTCTGCCCCAGACAACCGAGACTTATTAGTGGACTAAATTAACTTGGAATGTTCGGTTACTGCCTCGGTTCATAGCAGAAGCGAAACCGAACGGTCTTATTGCCTCTGTCCCAAACAACCGAGGCATATTAGTGAACAAAATTAACTTGGAATGTTCGTTTACTGCCTCAGTTCATAGCAGAACTGAAATCGAACGATCCTATTCCCTCTGCCCCCAGACAACCGAGACTTATTAGTGGATAAAATTAACTTGGAACGTTCAGTTACTGCCTCGGTTCATAGCAGAACCGAAACCGAACGATCATATTCCCTTTGTCCCCAGACAACCGAGACTTATTAGTTGACAAAAACGTTCAGTTACTGCCTCGGTTCATAGCAGAAGCGAACCCGAACAGTCATATTGCCTCTGTCCCCAGACAACCGAGGCATATTAGTGGACAAAACGTTCGGTTACTGCCTCGGTTGAGAGCAGAACCGAAGCCGAACGGTCGTATTGCCTCGGTTCCCAGTCAACCGAAGCCTATAAGTTCACCATAAATACAAAAATGCCACCGCATATTTATAAGCTTCGATTTTGTAAAAACCGAAACATATGATGCGAGTTAAAAAACCATTTTTTTACTAGTGTGAGAGTGTGAAACAAGGGAGAATGTTCTCGTTTAAGAAGTTATAAAACCTCACCACAAAAATATAATATTTGGACAAAAACAAACAACACATTAGTTAGTCTCATGATTCCTAACCTTAAAGTTTCTTTCATTACCAAATCAACCAATTTAATACAAACAATTCAAAATTCTATTCCTTAATTTCTATATCCCTAATTCAAAAATTATACACCAATTTACATTATCAACCAATTTCATACAAATAATTCAAAATTCTATTCCCCTAATTTCTATATCCCTAATTCAAAATTATTCACCAATTTACATTATCAACAAATTTAATACAAACAATTCAAAATTATATTCCCCTAACTTCTATTTCCCTATTTCAAAATTATACAATAGATTACATTATCAAGCAATTTAATACAAACACATTTTATTCAAAATTATACACAACCTAATTCAAAATACATATACATACATTTTATCATTGTTATTCCTATCACCAATTTACTATCAAACACAATAAAAAAAATGGAGGAGGTCTGAAAAACTTACCACACGAAGAAGAAGAACGACACCAAGAGAAGGGATGAACGATGGCAACGCGAACATCAGTTGGCGACAATGATGAAGAAGGGCCGAGACGACACAACCAGTGGTGGAGGTAGTGGCGATCAACAACTAGCAGTGACGACGATGAAGAAGGGCCAAGATGATGACGACTAGTGGTGGAGGTCCTAGTGGCGGAGAGGCAACGAAAAGCAGTTTGTGCGAGATGGGGAAGCACTTCGCATTCACGTTGTGGGGGAAGAAGAAACAGTGGAAACAGTGGTTACTATTTCATGTTTCTGAAATTTATCTCTCGAAGAGATTATTGCCTTGGTCAAGTAGAAAACTGAAGCAATAAGACCCTTTACTGCCTTGGTTATAAATATATCGATGCGTAAACCTTGTAGAAAAAATTCAAAATGGCAAATTTGAAAATATCTTCTAACTATAGGCATCTGTTTGCGGTTAAACTGAAGCATAAATAACCTATGACATCGGTTCAAAGAGAATCGAGACAATATAGATTGACAAAATAGATTTGGAACGTTCAGAATCAGCGGTTGTCTGCACAGAACCAAGGCAATATGTTTTTTAAAAGGTCGGTTAGTGAATATCAGTGCTTGCAGAGGGATTTGGCAAGGCCTTTTGCCTCAATTGGTTAGAGCACCGAGGTAGTAGGCCTATTTTGAAAAAGATGTCAAGTGAAAAATATGATTTGTAGAAGAAGCAGGTGGGTGACGCAGGGTTTTATGCCTCAGTTCCTCATTGAACTGAGATAACATACCCCTTATGCATCAGTTCCTACTAAACCAAGACATGTTTTGCCAAAACCACGAAAATGTCACTGTATTTTTATACGTTTTGATCTTTTCAAAACCAAGACGTTATGTTACGTTCGAGTTAAAAAATTGTTTTTCCACTAGTGATCATTCAAATTATGGTTTGGTCATTGTGCACAAAGTTTACGTTTTCATCAAAATTATGATTTTATTCCAATCAAACAATATTTGTGAGGGTCGGACACTTCGACTCGATACCAATATTAAGCAAAACAAATA